TCCCAGACACGAGACCTGTTGGAGCACATGGAGGGGCTCCAGCATGTCCCTCCCATGGACACGCCATCACCACTCCTGTCCCCCACAAAGTGACAAGTCTGAGGGCACAGGGACAGCTGTGTGACAGTCACAGATGGAGCAGTTGTTACCAGAGGGGCTGGTTTATGTCTAGCCTGCTTCATCTTTGAGCCCCACCCCTGCCCCAGGTGCCCGAGAGCCAGACCCCAGCCTCATCCTGACTCACCAGCTGAACACAAGCTAACATCTCCAGCTCTCCCTGCCTTGGTTTCATCATGATGATGATATTTTTAACTCAGCCACACCAACAGACATTTATTTTCAACATTAAAGCACCTACAGCCTGTTTCTACAGCCTAATCTAAAAGCTGACATGAAAGGACTTTCATGATAGCCATTATCTGCTGTTTGGGAGCTTAACCTTTGGAAGAAAGACCATGGCTCTGAACTTTGTTACACACCCTTTGCCTTTTCCCAGCAACTGCAACCTGTAGGTGAGGTCACCCATCCCGCAGAGGAGGCTTCCAGCCACGGAGCTGCGGTTAAAGATCAGTGGTACAGGCTGTGACCTGCGAGAACGAGGCCACAGGAGACAACACAGCCAGAGCACAGACACTGGAGGGGAACACGCACCCTCAACTTTGTGCAATCACTGATTTTGGAGGGACAAAGGGTCTGGGCACAAAGAGTCACTGGCCATTATTTGGCATAGCGGGGCATGCTGAGAGCAGCTCTGATTTGAGATGATAGACTCTTCACCTGTGATTCCCACCTTAAATTTGAACAGGAGTTGGATGAGCTTGTGTGGGACCTGCCAGAGTGTGGAGCTGCTCCCAGTCCTGCTGGTGGGGAGGCCAACAGCAGCACAACAACTGAGAGCCACCAGCTGGGAGGGCTTCATACATTCAATTAACCACCACAGCCAGAAGTAACAAAATCACTCTGAAGCAGTTAAGCTGGAGGAACATTGGGCTGAAGGTTAGTCAAAAAGCCACTGCACTAAAACTGCAGAGGGCACCTATGACATCTGTCAGAGCTTGGAGTTAAGACTTTGTTTCCCCCTCAAACTACACGTTAACCTCCATAGTTTGGAATTATTAGAAGAAATGTCTACCATGTCAGTGATTGATTTTCGTGTTCATTTATAATTTGCTGACTTTCCTTAACAGTCACCTTATTCCACATTTTTTCCTTATAATTGTAACTGGACTCTGTGAGCCTGCCTTTGGGAAGGAATTTCTCTCCTTGAGAAAGATTTCTTGCTGCAGGCTTTCAGGCTCAGACTGGGTTTTTGGTAACTCTATATTGCTTATGTTTAGATCAGTAGAGCAGACATGTCTGTACTTGCCTCATCATCTTCAAGCTGAAGAGGTTGATTGGACTATGCAGGCTACTTGAAAATAAAGTCATCACTAAGAAACGGCACAAGTCCTCTCAGCCAGCACCAAGTGGGCAACACAAGGGCCATAGCGTGCCTCTCAGGCTCCAAACCCAAACCAAGGCAGCCCTGACTTTTCCCTGCACCAGAACCAGGACCTTGCAGAGCAGCAACAGCCCTACTGCCCCAACTCACCCTTCCCACCCAACCCAGAGCTGGAGCCCAGGCTGCAGCAACCCCCCCAAAGCTGAAGAAATCGGTTCTCACACCCAGCAAGCACCTCCCAAACCCTGCCCAACCGCTGCAGCCAGCACAGAGCCTACCTCAGCCCTGAGGGATGAAGCACCATCCTCCTCACAGTCCCAAGCTCACTCCAGAAATGCCCCTGTAGGAAGGAGGGGGTTTAAATCATCACATCATTGGTGGGAGCTGATGATACCATTCCCAGCTGGGGACACTGGTTAAACCAGTACCAGCTGTGCCTCGTCCCAGGGTAGGAGCACCTGGGTCACAGCAGCCCCATCGTGCTGAGGAGGGACCCTGCAGCTGCTGTTTGCCCTGGCCACAGTGCCTAGAGGTAATTAAATCATAATTAAATTAAAATTTTGCTAAGTGGCTGCAATGCCACTGCCTGGATGCCCCAGCAGCAGGAGCATCTCTGTGAATGTGGATTAAAGCACCCTGAGTATCAATGTTATGCATTCTTAAAACAAACTAAATATGAAGATGCTGGTCTGGTGTTTTTCTGGAGTAACAAAGGACCTGGGGGATTTGCAGATTTTTTATTCCCTGTCTCCTTTAAGTGATTTCTGGGTCTCAGTATTTTTAATCAAGCAGAGGACAAAGAGGTAGGCCAGAGGGTCTGGCAAGCAAAGCAGGTTCTTAATACTGCATCACTGCCTGGACCACACCATGTCGCTGAGCTCGTCATAGCCCAAAGGCACAGCCTAGTTAGGGTCATGTCCTCGGTCCCCGACCATCCTAGGGTGGCCATGCTGGGACACCCCACAGGAGATGGCAGCAGCCCTTTGTGTCCTCTGCTGGGAAATCAACCCTTGGTCACCTTTCTGGAAGCTCCTCTCCTCCCAGGGCAGTGATGGGCAGCAAAGATGGCTGGGGCTGGGCTGAGGTGGCAGCTCAAGGTGCAGTCCAGCCTGTGGACTGGCAGGAGAAAGGTTGGCTGCTGGGGAAGGAGAAGTTTGCTTGCCCCGAGACCCCGTGCCCCGGCCAATGGGCCGATGGCTCACCCACAGCACCAAGCCTGCCCACGCACAGCAGCGATAGCTCCATTTATCCCTGAGGGTGGCCACTAACAGAACCGAGTCCAATGCTAGTTTTGCATGAGTGAATTTACTCTTAAAATGTACAATTTCTGGAACACGATGACTGGTCAGAAGAGACACTGAGTGCTTGTGATTCAAGGGTGCCTGGGACAGGGCACGAGGAGTGGCACCCTGAGCTGCAGGGTGGGAAGGGGCTGAGCAGCTGTGCCGTGAAACCTCCTAGAAACCTCCACTTATGTTGGAAGCTTTCTCCTCTCTTCACTGCATGCCCTGATTTTGTCTGCAGTGTTTTGCAAATATTGCACGTCTTTGGGTTGGGGGGGATTTTTTGCATAGCAGGAGTAGGAAACAAAGGCAGGAGCATCGCTCCCTGCATCGCCTTGCAGTTATTACTTGGCTCTTGTGCACAAACCCTGCCCTGCCCCAACCGTCTGCACCTGCAGGTATCACATGTGGGCAAAACAATCCCGGGAAGATGCAAGTGCACCCCAGAGGTAGCGATGACCCTCTCTTGTCACAGGCTCTCTCCTGTCACGGGGAAACTGCTAGTTAAAGTGGCTAAGTGGAAATGAGCATGGGGCAAAAGCAAGTGCCGCAACTGCCATGCTGTCATGCGCTGATCAGAGCTGAGCAGCAGCAGCCGGTGATGATGGCGCACACAGGGAAAGCAAGGGCAAGACCACCCGCACCCCAGCACCCTTCGCTGGGTGTCCTGGTACACAAGAACCGCTTTCCCCACTGCAGAGCTCACAGCAGCCCTGGTGCCACCCACGCTGGAATTGAGCCATAATATCAAGGTCAAAAAACTCGGTATTTTTTTTTTAGCAGTGAGCTTGCAGCTTAAATGGCTGAGGCGGCTGCTGTACCTGTGCTAAGAAAAGGCAGTGATACATCCCGGTTCTGAGAGCGACTGCTAAAAATAGCAATATCTGTATCTGGAGAGTGGAGGGA